AACCCCCCCCCCCCCCCGCTCTCTCCCTCCCTCCCCGCCCCCCCTTGCCTGGCGGTGCGTCTTGCATCTCGAGCAGTACCACAGCTCGCTCTGCCCCAGCTCCTCGCACTCGGTGAACTTCTCGAAGCAGCTGTCGATCGGCACGCTCTGGCGCTCGTTCTGCGCCTCCTCTGCCTTCCTCACCGAAGGGTGGGTGTCCGTCGCCTCGAGCTCGTCCTTGTCGACCAGGCTGTGGGGCTCGTAAGTGGGTCTGCCGCGAGGGGGAGGGGGGGGGAGGGAGTTCGGGAGCCAAGGGCGGGTTGTGATAAAGGACAGCGTGCGACGGGGGGTGGCGCACGAAAACGGAGACACTAATGACGCATGCTTTCCAACGGCAACAACAGCATTGCCGTCATCCTCAACCAACAACAACGCCTGTCATCACAATCCCTAACAACAAACAAAACAGTACCCGGGGGCGTCGAGTCCGAAAAGGATGGCAGGACTGATACATAGATCAGGAGCGCGGAAAAGCGGCGGCCCCTGCAGGACCTGGACCTTCACCGGCCGGCGCGACATCGATCTCAAGGCCCTGCAATTCCTATGTCACCTCCATGCGCAGCTACACAATAGCCTATACTGCCACTGGATGGTGCGGCATCGACCTATTCGACCTGCTTTTCATTCCCACGCCAAACGGGTCTTACTCCATGAACAGCTACACACCAACCTACCACTGCCTTTTCCATGAGCAGTCAACGTCACTCAAACTTGCGAGCGTTATTCTACCACGGTCTGGTATGCACGTTCCGTCATGTATATTTTACCGTACCGTACGGCGAGCGCGCGTTACATGGCAACCGTCTTTGTCCGCAAAAAAAATAAAAGGGGGCTAGCGGGCGTCCTGTTTTGCAAGTTTTAGTTGCTTGACCATTGACCCCGCGTCCTGGAAAGCACGGAGCATCGTTACCGCAGGATCGATCACCGATGGCCAACTGTTCCTTCTTACTTTCCCAAAGGGGGACAGGGTGGGGGGGGGGGGGGTATTCACGTTTTGCATGCCTTAGCTCTTAGTCCATTGACCACGCGTCCTCGAGAGGACGGAGCGTATTTATCACAGGATCGATCACCGATACCCTCCTACTTTGCCACATGGCGGGGAATACTCAAAAGCAGAGCATGCCGAAGTCGTTAGACCTTTGACCCCGCACCCTTACAAGGTCGGGACGGAGCATGCCGGTGGGCGGCTACTAGTTCCGAACACTGTCGGTGCTAAGGCTAAGGTTAACGTTGTCAGCAGTCATCGAATGCGGTGTCACCTGTCGCCATCTTGAGGGAACTGGACCTTGAGGGCGGTGCTCTCGTCGCCGCTTCCTCTTGTGCTGTAGCCCCTGTACGCCGACACCGCCTCGAAAGGCTCGTCGTTCATGGGCACCTACGAGAGGATAGGTAACGGTAACGGCAACGAAAACATGCACCACACACCACCAACAGAGAGAGTGAGTGAAAGAGTCGTTCATGGCCAACTGCTCCAGAAGGGGAGAGAATAACGGCGACGAAAACATGCACCCCAAATGGAGGGGGGGCGCGCGGGGGGGGGGCAACGTGCTACGCGTCAGCTCGTGAAAGCAGGAGGAAGGGGAGTGATAAAACAACGCCCAAAGGACAAGGGGGGGGATGACAGAGTCAGGTCACTCCGAGAGGGGAGGACAACAACAAAGATACCGCAACTACACACAAAACCACCACAGGGGGCAGGGGACACGTGCAAGAGTCATCAAGTCGCTCTTCAAGGGGAGAAATAGACTAACTCGGGCCTAGGACTATTGACCATTGATACAGGGCCACCAAGGGAGCTTGATCGCTGGCGCACACGTGTCCCGGAGGATCGGCAACGGGCCTAACGCCGTCTGTTGCTCGTCGGCGATAGCATCGAGACCCTTCGGCAAGACTATTGAACCACGTGCCCTCGCGAGATATTAAAGTAGAAAAAAGACGACGACGACGACGACGAGAGGAAAGGTGGGGTTCTAAACAACGAAAACGAAACAAGGCACGGGGTGCAGGACGAAAAATCCTGTCTGCGTGGCCCCGAAGCCCCGAGGTGTGTAGGTGTTACAGACTCGGGAGTTCAGGCTGCACGAACAAAAAAATGAAGGGAGGGAGGAAAAATTATACTCCCATATAACGAGACGTCGCCTGACCGTAAAAGGTGGTCTAGAGTGCCCCGGTCCTTCGCTAAAAACGTCGCCTCCAAAACAATCGTCACCTCAGCACCGATGCCCTTGGTTGCGCTGGTAGTGCTGCCGCTGTAGTCCGTCACGAACACCTTGTACGGCAGCGCATCTACCACCTCGCCCTCCTCCTCCTCCTCCTTGCCCTTCCCCTTCGCCGCCGCCGCCGCCCCCCCCTCCGGCTCGACGACGCTACTACCGCCCCCCGCGTTCGCGTCGCCGGGGGGCGACGCAGATGCGGAGGAAGACACCAGCGTGGCCCCGCCGCTGCTTGCGGTCGTGGCGGAGTCTCCGCCCCAGACGTCGTCGACGTCCATCTCCGCCTTCGCCGCCCCCGCCGACGTGGGGGATGGCAGGTCTCCGTCCCCGTCCGAGACCACCGCGGGGCTCTTCTTGACGTGCACGAAGGGGGATGAGTCGCCGCTGTTGCTGCTGCTCCTGCTGCTGCTGGTGGTGACGGTGGGGGCGTCGAGCGCCATGGTGTCGGTGATGTGGACGTAGTCTCCGTCGATGTCGCTGAACGGAGGGAGAGCAAGTAAACAAGCAGGGAGACCTGAACAAATCGGCTACTTCTTCGCCAAAAAAAATGTTCTTGTAGGGTTGTTATTACCGTCGCTCTTGCAAGTGTCATGAGGGGATCAAACAAATGTTCTGGTTGACGAATACAAGCGCTTGGTGAACGAACGCTCTGCGCTTTCTTCTCCGCATCTCGACATCGCAGCAGCTTTACACAAACGTATATACCGTACATGAACAGTAGCAGTCTTGGCGCGACGCCCACTCAAAGGCAAGGAGACAGGTGGGGGGGTGGGTGAGAACAGGCGGGCAGTGTTGGCAATTCAACACGTGGACGGAGGTTCGCAAGGGTTTTCATCAGCAACCTTTCTCGGTTCGATGCCGGGCGGATGTTTCGCCTCTTGCGGGACCACTGGCGGCAACCACGTCGCTCTGAGGCATGCGGCAGGCTGAGCTCTATGTCGTATTCGTAACACTACCAGAGCGTTGATTCGTAGAGACAAACCTACATCTCCTCAAAAAAACAAAAAAAAGGTCAACAGCATAGATGGGCGGCACGAAAACACACCCCTTCGGCAGGCCGCACTTGCCGTTGTAACACGCAAGACTTGATTCGTGTGCTGAGACAACAGTCGCGCTTGCAATCCAACGCCCTAATCGAAAAAAACTTGCTTGGCTCCATACTAGCACGGGCTCTAGCTGCAGTATTACGGTACCTCGTGGTACTAATGCCGGCCTCCTGCGCCGCCTGGTCCCCCCCCGCCGCCGCCGCCGCACCACCCACGGCGGTGCCGCTCTCTCTCTCCTTCGGGGTGGGGTTGAGCGACGGCACGAGGCGAGCCATGTGCCTCCGGATGATGCCGTGGATCTCGTTGTTGGTAACCCCGTTCCTGACAAAAAAAAACGGCAGATGGTCCGTGAGCGACGAGGTGGGGTACGGGGTATAGTATAGGACGTAAGGGATGATGCATCCCCTTTGTCGTTATGCGATTTGACTCTTACAAGCAGCTGTTTGTCCTTGTTAACAATCGCTGGAGCCCCAGAAAAAAAACGCATACAAGTACACAAATGGCTGGCTGAGATGGACGCAAGGAAAAATCACACACAACAAAAAAAAAAACGGCGCAGCAGACAGCAACCACAACAACAAATAAAAAAACAACATCAGCCAACAACAATCTCCCAAACGTGGGCCGGCGCGTCAGCTACCCCCATCGCACTACACACCTGCACGTGATGCGCCGCGGCTTCCCCTTGAGGGTCGAGTGCGGGTACGTCGACAGCAGCAGGTCGATCAACACGCTCGGGCCGTCTCCCTCCCCACCGCCACCTTCACCCCCCGCCCCAGCGTCTACGCCGCCGCTGGTAACCGGCTTCCCGTCCGCCTCCCCGGTACTCTGCGAGGACGTCTGCCCCGAAGAAGAACCTCCCCCCCCCCCGGGGAGGGGGGGTACAGCGGTAGCCACGGACCCCCCCCCCTTTTCCGACGAGCATGACGACGGCAGCGGGAACTCGAGCTGGCACACCGCGAAGTCGTCCGTGGGCTTCATGTCCGACAGGGGACACGAGTCCTCCATCCCCTTGAAGACCCTCGAGGACCACACCTCCATTACCGCCAGGAGGTCCTCCGTCAGCAAGCCACCTCCACCCTGCTGCTGCTGCTGCTGCTGCCTACGGACGCCCGAGCAAATTGTTAACGAGAGGTGCCAGGGACGACAGGAGTAGGGTGAAAAGGACGGCGTCAACGACACAAGCCTTGTTGCGCGGTATACGCTATGATAGGCCCGCATATCTTCATGTCGGCATAATGTACGCCTGTGCGTGTCTTTGTGGTTAGCATTGGATGCGTCAATATTGTTGGCATCGACAGCGCTGACCTGCTCACCAATGAAACGACGCCTGTGGATGTGTGAAAGTCAAGCTCAACATATTCGGAAGCCCCTCCCGATCTATCACTTGCGGCAACGGCAAAAATCACCCGGCGATGCGATCCCCCCTGGCTATCCCTCGGCCCCCCGCGGTCTCGTCTAGAAACAGGGCAGGGGGGGGCTACTTAAGAGGGGACAGAGAGAGGAGTGCGAAACACTGAATAGTCTTTGGGGGTCTCCACACAAAGGACGCGTCGTCGCAAAGGAACACATCGTTACGGCCAAAAATTGGTGCCATCTTCAATGGCACTCACACCGGTTGCCCCGGTGGTCTGGTTGGTATCCTCGAAACCTTCTAGAGGTCAGGTCAGGGATTCGAATCCCGGCGTAAGCGAGCTTTTCTTGCAAAGTGAGGTTTTCTCTCGCTTACGCTCCTGGCCCAGTGGATAGCGCTACGTAGTTCGTGTGTACACAGAGGGAAGAGAGTGCTGAACTCTTCTCGCATTAAAAATCGAAGACAAAAGTACCGCAGGAGGGGAGGCTCTTCTGTGTGACCACGGGTTGGAGTTAACGGCACTAGTGCTGTGAGCGCTGATTTGAAGTGAAGACAAAAAAAAAAAAAACACTAGGATCAGCGGCTCCCCTGCAGTACGGCAACCCGCCTACGCCGCACCGCCCGCGGGCAACACAAGCGAAACAACCACCCAAACGAAATTCATCAAATACACCACAGAGACACGAAATACAGATACGCCATGGTTGAATTCGAGGGACAACAAGCCGTGCGTGCATTTTCTCACTTGGACTGAGGCCTCTCCTGGTTGTACCGCTGGCAGATGGCCGTCTTGAGGTCTCGGACGGTGTTGTCCTTCTGGAGAGTGACGGCCACCTCCATGGGCCTCGAGCCGTACGGGAGGGGGTGAAACAGCACCTTCACCTGTAGGGATGATATTAGGCATAGCAGCAGCAGCAGCAGCAGCAGCAGCAGCAGCAGCAAGGAGACGGGCCACAGTATCGTGAGAGGCGCAACAGGCACGAGCCACAGCAGCAGAACAGGCGAAAACAAAAAATTGAGGCTTCAACTGCTGTCGCAATAGGGGCAGCAGGGAGACAGGGCATCAAACGATACGCACCGTGAGACGCGCAAAAGGTACGTGGCAGACAGAGCAGAATCGGCGGAAAAAAAAGTAAACAATGAATCTGTCGGTAGGGGAAACGGGGATGAATCTACACATATAGATCGTGTCAAGAAAAAAACACAAAACGCGAGGGTAGCTTTCAAACTTTCAAGCCGCTGTTCGGGGGGCGGAGGGTTCCGCGAGCTACCCAAGACTCGAAACAACAACACCGTGCGCAAACACAAGCAGCAATCCGAGCTTGAACGCCAAAAAAGTGACATCAACAATAGCTTGGCCGGAGCGACATGGCAAACGAAAGGAGAGAGAAAAGCGGGTTTCCACCTGCAACCCACCGCCTCGACCAATCATCAGATACCACCCAACAGACCGAGCTAAACCTTAGCCAAGAGCTAAACCTTAGCCAATCGAATCGTCCCCGTTCCTCACCATGACGGCCGTGTCGAACGGCAACGGGAGCGAGAGGGACGTGTAGGGGTCGAAGGTGACGCTGGACAGGTTGCACTCCGGGCACGTGACGTGAGACCGCAGCAGCCCCTGCACGCGGGAAAAAAAAAAAAAAAACGCGCATGGAGCTGACTGTTGTATGAGGTCGCAGGCAAACCTCTGCACGAAGCGCAGCCAGCCGTTAGCGGCAGCAGCAGCCAGTAGTAGTAACAGCGTGGGGGTCACAGTGGGTCACGAACTTGATATGAAGGCCCCGTGTTTCAGGCCTCGTTCGAACCTCCCTTCCTACGCTTCGATGGCTCTAGCCGATGTGCACCACCTTTATTTGGGGGTTGTTTTTCATCGGAGCTCTGATTCCGGGAACACACACTTTGCTTAAGGTCACGGCAATACTACATCCACACCGCGGCAAGCTTGTTGTTATAGACAAGAGACAGCCCGAGAGAAAGCGATAGATAGGTCTCGCACTAGGTAGACAAGAGAAAGCCCAGAAGAAAGCGATAGGTATGCCGTCCACAAAACCACAAACATAAACAAAAAATCACCCAACAACACGTTGGCAAGGGGTGATTAAGTTGGTTTTGTGTTGAGTGCCTTTGCTCTACTTAGCTCACCGTGCACGTGTCGACCATGACGGAATCGTTTCGCATGAGGTAACGCCTCCAGCTCTCTTCGGCCACCACGCGATCGGCTCTCCCCGCGGAGTCCACCGTCTCCATGTACGGCTGCACCCCCCCCAAAAGCAAACCCCGACGACAAAACGGCAACAAGCACAATTAAGGCGGCAGAAGAAAAAAGGCAGGAACATTGTATCAGTAAACTTCGCGAGGAAACTAAGCTCGGCTGCTCCCCCCCAAAAGCTAAAGCCGCTGACTATAAAACGGTATTAGGCAAAAAAAAGAAAAAAAAAGCGGCCGAATAATGGCAAGTCAACTAGTATCAGTGGCCTTCGTGGGGAAAAAATAAAGCTTGGTTTGAGTAGGGGGTACGCGGTTGGGGGTTAGGGATAGGGATACGAACCCAGACCCCCCTATTTCATACATCAAAATGAAGTCTTCGCGAAGGCGATCCCGTAGTATGCATTACGCGAAACGTATCCCAACAGGCTCTGGGGCACTCGAACCATGGCCACAGCACGGCGCAAGCGACTGCTGTATGAATCTCTAACGCGCGCGACGCGTGCGTGGAAGTACCACCGCATTCGTGGAACTTCCGGCGAATCGAGATCTACGAATGAGCACATCTACGGACGAGCGCAGACAATTCTACGTAGAAGCCTAAATGACTGAATGATAGCAGGTATTGTGAACCTGGTTGGGGTCCTCACATCAGTAGAAACGCTACTGCATGGCAGAGGCTACAACCAAAAGGTCGTAGCATACAACAGGACAGCATACCTTGTGGAATCCGGTTGAGGCCCTCTCATCTACGTAGAAACCTATCACATGATTCTGGCTGGTCCTCAAATCTATGTTACTCACGAATCAAAAAAGCCTTGGCCTAGAAACGTCACTGCATGGTAGATGGAATAACTAGGGGAGATATCGCCGTGTGATGCTCGGGGAATCGTGGAAATACAGGTAGCCTTCGCTGACGCTATTTATGGATGCATTGCTAATCTATCTTAGACTCATTTCTTGGATAGAGATGGATTCGTCGGGTCATATTTCAAAAATATATAATAAAAACCAAATGGCTGTCAAGAAAAAAAAAAAAAAAAAACGGCCGTCAGCGGTCGGACAGTATATGTACCTTCTTGTGGACCCGGTTGAGGTCCTCGTGGATGCCGTCCAGCAGGAAGCTCATGAGCTCGCTGGCGTCGTGCTGCTGGTACCCCGCGAACATGGGCGCGTACTGGGACACCACCTTCTTGACCGTGTTGGGCACCACGACGGAGTACTCCCCCGACCACGCCTGCGAGACGACACAGTCCCACGAGCGTAATGCAAGAGGTTTATTGTGTTGTTGAGAAACTACGCGTACGATGAAAGAAAAGACTACCCGTTCGAGGTGAAACCACGGTAGAATGACGGTGTGGTTTATATAAATAAAGTCTTTTGTATTGCTTCTCCCTCCCTATATCTCTCGTAATGTCACTTCTATCACATCTCCTCTCTCTCTCTCTCTCTCTCTCTCTCTCTCTCTCTCTCTCTCTCTCTCTCTCTCTCTCTCTCTCTCTCTCTCTCTCTCGTCACTGCTATTGCTCCTTGTCCCCTCTCACAAACGTCATCTTCAAGTCACTCAAAAAAAATACTAGCACCTCCCTCCCTCTCTCTCACATCGCCATGTCACCTCAAAACATAGCATTTCCCTCCCTCTCACATCATGAAGCCACTTCTACAGCATCTCCCCCCGTCTCTCTCAAACATCGGCGTGAAGCCACGCCAAACATATCATCTCCCTCTCTCGCTCTCTCGCTCTCTCGCTCTCTCTCTCTCTCTCGTCACTATGCCACACACGGCCATCACATATATAGCATCTTCCTCTCTTACACACATCGTTAAGCCACTTCAAATACAGCATCCCCCTTCCTCTCACATCATCGTTGAGGCCCGCGTACGCCGCCGCCATCTTGCCGCCCATGCCCAGGGGGTTGTCCTCGTTAACCTCCCGCTTCCAGTGCTGGCTGCGGAAGTACGTCGACAGCGACTCCGTGGCGAGGAGACACTGCAGCATGCTGGGAGGGGGGCGGGGGCGGCGGGACAACGAGCAGTCGAGGGGGGCGCGCCACAAGAGGTAAAAACGAAATAATGACTTTTATCCTCCAAAAAAACACAACAACTAACTATCCGAGATTTATGTTGATAAAATGCTACCACCTACACGATAAACATTTTTTCCCTGGACTAGTTATGTGTGGACAGAGACGAACATGCGTTGGTTTTTCTGGGAAAAATTGCACACAAATAAAAAATACTAAATACACGACGAACGAATAGCTGCACGTGCATCATATATTGTTCGTGGACTCTGCATCTGCGGAACAGGAGACGAATATTGCATGTGATGGCTTGTCAAAGAAAAGGTAGTTCACAAAAAACGAGAAGGCACTACATGGAGGAAGGGTTGACAAAAAGAGTGTGTCGATGTCCTCCCCCGCCGTACAGCAGTACCCCCCAAAACAAAAGGGGATAAAAAACGAGTCTCACCTGTTCATGAAGCACGTGTTGCCCAAGTTGCTGAGTCCGACAGCTCCGCGAGTGATAGGCTTCGCCTTGGTGTTGGTGCGGTAGAACCCGTACGATCCTCCCGTGCCGGAACCACTGCCCGACCGCGAACGACTGATTTCGGTGCGGAAGGGGAGGGGGGGGGGGGGTCCACGCGGAGGTGTATGTGTGCGTGCGTGTGTGTGTGTGTGTGTGTGTGTGTGTGTGTGGGGACTCCTGTTTTGCATGACCCTTGACCACGCGTCCTCGAGAGGACGGAGTAATTGTTCCCAAGAGACCTAACACCGTCGGCCAATCGTTAATTCTTACTTCGCAAAGAACGGAGGTTCAAAAAGCATTTTCCTAACTTTCCTAACTATCTATCCTATCGACATCCACTCGCGGTGCGGAGGGGAGGGGGGCTCCAAGCGGAAGGGGGAGCAGTCATCGGCAATGAGACAATTCACACACGGCGGCCGGCTCAAACCAACCCCAATCTTATCCCTCACACACGGCCAACGGATGGCCTGGCGGCAGAGAATTAGGCGAGAACGCGGCTGCTCCGCGTCCCTGGAATTTCGAGACAGAGAGAGAGAGGGCGCTGGAGAGGAATCGACCGCCCGAACCAACGCTCGACCAATCAGAGGGCGTAAGAGCCATAGATAGCAAGAGTCACTATCAGACCGCAAGAACTACTGGAGATTGTAGCCTTGTACTGAGCCAGGACAAGGAGCGAGAATCGTGCCAACAGCTAATTACTCGGTACGTAGATCGGGAGAGCATTAATGATGAAAAAAAAAAAAAAAAACTTCCAAACCTTGTCTCCAGTCTCCCGGGGGGCAAAACAACTCACCCTGAAACAGCCGGATGAGGATATTGGGGGGGGCCATGGCACACGTGAGGATTGGTGACCCTACACCATTTCAACGGACAAAATATGATTCTAGAGGGGGTTAGGGTGGCGTACTTGTGAGTTCGGGCTGGGAGGGCCTTGTTGATGTGCGTGTGAGCCTTGCATATATCTTCGCTGTCTTCCGGCATCCATTGGCTCCCGACGTCGTTATCTGAGACCTGAACAGCAAAAAAAACGCGCGACAAAAATACACAGCGACGATTGTTACAAGGAAATGGGACGGCATGTCGTATGCACACAAGGGTTGGAGATCGACCAAACCCAGCGACGAACAGGGAAATGGGACAGCGTGTTGCATGCGCACAGGGGCTAAAAAAAAAAAACGATCAACCCCGGCGACGAATGCAGGGAAATGGAACGGCGTGTTGCATGATATGCATTCAAGGGTTCTCATTGTCGTTGTTGGAGACCTGAACAAAACAAAACGGCCACAACCAGCCTCGAGTACTAGGGAAATGGGACGGCGTATTGTATGACCTTGTACAAGGGCCAGGGATTCTGAGGGACCCCCCATGTCTCGTCACAGCAGTCCGCGGCACTCACCGACAAGAAATGGTAAACGTCGGCGACCCATTGGAAACAAATTACTGATGAAACCTTTCAAAAAAGGGCCCAACAGTCGCGTTTAACTTCGCAAACGGCGTTGTTCTACTCGTCAATATCAACGGCATACGCACGACGCGAGATTATATGAACAACGTGGTTGAACATGAACCACCACCAGAATACAAACAAAACGTGCCGCATCCGATTGCTGTCCTCTTTTCACCTCACCGTAAGCCAGTAACAAGCACCCCACCGCGATGCGCAGCTACAGCAGTGCTTTCTAAAAAAAGCCAAAATCGCCAGGCCTCAATGTCAAACTTCACCAAAAAAAAAAACACTTCAACGGAGGAATGGGGTCTGGCGCCTTGACACACCTCAGCAACAACAAAAACCTATCCAAGAGGTGGGGTGGGGGCGCCGTGACACACCTCCACAACAACAGAAACATCCAAGGGGGGGGGGGGGCGCCGTGACGCACCTCGATGTACAGCAAGCGTTTTCCATGCTCGTGCTTGACCTCCCCCACCGTGGCCTCGTACCACTTCTTCACCTCGTTCCTGCAGGAGGACACCTCGCACTTGGAGTTCACTTGAAGGTCCTGATCACACAAGGTGTTTGTTTTTCGCACGTGAGACCAACAGCGACACTCCCTAAGCGAATGAACAATTCATTCAGAGAACTTGGAGTTCACTTCAAGGTCCTGGTCATCATTTGGAATTTTTTTTTGTTCGCACACATGCGAGACGAGCAGCGAACGCCTCCCAACAAGTGGATGAACTCTTCAACGAAACCTCGTACATTTGTCGTTCACTTGAAGGTCCTGGTCATCATTTGCAAAAAAAACACTCGCACGCACGCGAGACCAAGAGCAAAGACCTCCTCCAACAAGGCGAACAAACAATTCAACATCTTGAAAAATGTTCGTCGCGATTGTCCCAATCATCGGAAATGACCAGAGCCTTCATCGAGAATAGACGGCGCTCTACGGACTGTAGTTTGTCCGGCAGGGGTGGTCAGTAGGCACTTTTGTTTTCTTCTTCTTGCATCACCTGCCGCCACGGCGTGGTGAAGGTGTGAAGCTTCTGCAGCGCTTCCGAGCTCCGCTTGAGAACCTCGTCCCACTTCTCCGACCACCCCAGGAAGTGAACCTGCCCGAGTCAAGCCCCAGGCGTCAAAGGTTGCGCAACAAAACAGACACGCACGGATGCCGTCAATGCTAACGGTAGGGTTTCGTTTTCTCCACTTCCTTTATTCTCCTCCACAAAAAAACACAAACAGATGTATGTGACGGGTGCAATCAGTCACATGGGAGGGGTGTGGTTTTCTCCACCGCCGTCATTCTCCTTAACAAAAAAAAAAAAAGTCATGACTCCACCCCCGTCATTCTCCTCCACCAAAAAAAAAAAAAAGGTATGACTCCACCCCCGTCATTCTCCTCCACAAAAAAAAAAAAAACATGACCGAGAGGGTGTTGACGCGGGTTCTGCTTCGCAACCCTGCGTCGCCTCCGGGAAAAAAACAAAACAATTCCATGGCCTACAAAAACAGAGGCAAAACAAGAGCTGCAAGAGCCGATGCACCCCTGGAACCAAGGTGTGGACCAGACTTGCCGGAAACAAAGAAGTATGATATGGTTATTCGGTCGTGGTCCCTGTTTAGCGGGATGCCGTCAATAGCGGTTCCAAAGTCTCGTGGCACCGCTCCGCCTCGGTAGCCAAACTACAATATAACTGCCAACAATCCGTTTTTTAGCGGCGATGCCCTCAATAGCGGTTATTTAACATTTTGTGACACTGGGTCAAGAATGGTTTGAGATTGGGTGCGCTTTTTTTTCGGACGTGTTCGCTAAACCGGGACCATGACTACATTTCGAATGGGAAGTCCTTCCTTGATTGTATGTATACAAACAATTTCGAAAAGAATGCATGCAAGGGTCTTCATGTCCCGACCTTAGGAATTCAAGAGCCCCAGAGGGCATGTTGACGTCATGCATGGCGTAGGTGAATAACGCGCAACCCACGTCCCTCGAATTTCCTCCAACGCCTGCACCGAAATGCACTTCTTAGTCCCCACTACTCGGCAAGACCTGGACCAACGCAAGGCCGGGGCGCCGTGAGGTTGTGCGGCGCTCGGTACCCCCCCCCCCCCTTTGGGATGCTGCGTCCTCCCTTGGGGGTGTTGCGTGTCCTCTCTCGCGGACACGTGGCCAATGGTCTAACAAAACGAAGGCATGGTACAACACACACGAGTACAAAGCTCCCCCCGGGATGCGAGGACTATGGTCTACTGACCACGGCATGCGGATACATGAGTACACCCACCCCCACCCCGCTCGTACCTTCACTTGCTCCGGGTCCCCGTCCACATCTACCTCCGTCACCCTCGATTCGAACCAGTTCTTGTCCGAGTCTCTGCAATAAAAATGACCAATAAGAACCAAGACGTCAACACCATCGGGCATAAACAGAGACGAACCAACACACAGTAGTGCGGTTTTTGCCTAGAGCAACTACGTAATGTATTTTGTAAACTATGGGACACGGACACATCGGAGCTTGCTTTTCCGGACAGCGAATAGACGGTTCGTTTTTCATTTGCCGGGAACAAGAAAGAAACAAAAAAACAGTTGATTCCCTCACAGCTTCCGAAGCATGTAAATCAAGAATTCGAGGAGTAGGAAACTCCGAAAAACAAAACAGTAAAACTGCCGACCATGAGACAAAATAGTCAAGATTCATTCGCCCATACGGGACGCGACACAAGATACCACACCCCCAGGACCGATTTTCAGAGCTCAAATACTCCACGGCGCAGACGATCCAAAAATAAAACAAAATACTCCGTATACATTTCCAGGAACCTCTCCACGAGACCACTCCTACCCCGCCATTTTCGGCAGCGCCATTCTTCCTGCTTCGGAGAAATCGATCTTTGAAAAGTCCGTCAAGGGGGTCTGATATCTTACGCCATGTCACCTACGGTAGCCGCGCGCACCTGGCGTCGATGAGGTCTCCGGCCTTAAGGTTGAGCCTCCATCTCAGTAGGATGTGATCCCTGGGGAAGCTGGTGGAGGCGGCCGGGTCCGACGTGTCCTTAGTCTCCACCAGCAGCGCCACCGACTGAAACAAGAACCCCATCGCAGCATCGAAATCAAAGCAGCGAGGGCGAGCGACGAGATTACAGAACTCGTTTCGAGAGGATGGGCATACCTCACCATGTCGGCGACACAAAAAACAAGCGGCGAGGACAACGAGGAGGTGACGAAATTCGGCCACAGGGACATGGGGGCGCAAATCAATCAGCCCTAGGAGGACCAACGATGATGATGATAAGACGACAAGCTCGGTCCGAACGGAGGGACATGGGGGCGTGAGTCAACCAATCGGCTCTGCCAAGACAACGTTGCGAGGTCACCGATGACAATCATGAGATGTCAAAACTCGGCCCGAAAAGAGAGACACGGGGGGACTGAGTCAACCAATCAGCTGTCGGGGGACCCACCCCCTCCCGTCGTTGGCCCCTTCGAGGGGAACACGGACAGCCGATAAGCCCACGAGGCGTGCCTGCCTGCGCTGTCTCTCCCGCAAGCAGGGCAGTTCGACCTTCGGTACTCGAGCATGCTCACCAACGACTGCCTCATCATCATCATCATCATCATCAACAACGAACAACGACACTACTTGCAGTACCACCAAGAACAACAGTAAAAACAACAACAACAACACGCCACCACCATCACCACCACCACCATCATCAACAACAGCAAATTAAGCCACCTGCGTGTCCCCCATGACCTCGTGCAGCGATTGGCTGACCTCTTCCAGGTGTATCGCCTTCTCACCCCCAGCCCCCAGCACACGTTTCCCCGGCATCGAGGAGACCACGCGCGAACAAAACAAAAGACAAAACAGTAGAAAACAGCGGTTAACATCTCAGAAACATACATGCGTCGTTGCTTGTCTTGGCACCAGATCTTACGTTCACATGAGCTGTATCTTCCAACTAAAGAGAGAGTAATCGCGTGGCAAACGTACCCTTTTGGCACACATCACCGACGTTAGTTGAATATGCCCGTGGTAGCAAATTTGTGTTGTACCGTGTGGGTGGGTGCGCCGCGACGACAAGGGTACAAATATCCCATGCCCCCTACCAATTCCCCGTGTCCCGTACGTAGCTCGCCCCCGACTGTCAGGCGGCAAACCGCAAAATTGTGAGCACGCAGCCAACGGCGCTTTCCCACTGAAACAAAAAAAATAACAAGTTTGTGGGGCAGTGGCATTCAAACGACGAGGTAGCTGGCCGAATGGATACAGTACACCGCTACCACAGACGAGACTCTGGAGGCCACGTCGGCGCCGAGAGGTACGAAAGGAGTGACCGAGCTCTCGGGATCGTTCCGAGGAACGGCGCCAAACGGCTCTCACCTGCCAACCATCGTCTTCCGCGCCTTCCGTGCTCCCCGCACCAGACCCGGTCGCTGCCGCCGCCGCACCGCCCGCCGTCCCTGCTAGCGTGCCACACGACAACAGTTCTTGTTCGTGAATTTGGACATCGGTTTCTCGCGTTCTTCGCCAAGGATCGGCACTGTCACCATCCCTCCTAAACTGTTGCTGCTGCTGCTGCTGTTGCTGGTATGATCTGCATATTTTCTCATCATTTGTTCAATCAGCGTTCATAGCTTTTTTGCCTGGTAGAAGCTGGCTCCCGTCCGTGGCCACACAGAAGCTGCCTGTGATGCCACATGCGACTGCTCTTCAAACCATATAACACGAGGGACTAACAAACAGAAAAAGAGGCTTTTGGCGTGAGTGTGGACCGCTACGGTAAAGTAGCACGTCCCTCACCTGCCCTCGATAAAGAGTTGACGCACCATAGCGGCGAAATCACGCCGACTTCGGCCTCCTTCTAGGACAACCATTTCTAACCGCTGACATAGGCGTACTTTCATCGGTCAGCCGGTGAGCGCATGCGAACTAACAAAAACACACACGCCGTCACACACCCCAACAACCAACACAGCCGCCAGGACGCGCACAGACCTTGCTCCGCCTCCTCCAGCTTCTTGAGGCTCAGACGCGTGTCCACCCGGGGGGTGAGGTTGAGGCTGCTCTTCACGTCCGCGCAGATCTGTCGCATGGTCTTCGCCCGGCTGTAGAGCTGTACGCTGACGCTGTCCTCGTCGGCCCTGCCGTCAGGCAGGCACGTGTACACCATGAACCTGGCCACCGCCGCCGCAGCGCCGCCGATAAAAAAGCATCAGCCGCGGGAGGACGAGAAGGAGGAGGAGGAGGTGGGAGGGGCGGGTCGTTGGGTGGATTGCCGGACGGGATAGTACAGCCCCACAAAGGCATATGCTTGATTGTGCTTCGATCCAAAGCGATGGTTGTAACTGCCACCTGACCGTAACCGTAGCCATACATGTACAACCTGTTTGTGCCCCCCGCCCCCGCCCTCCCATGCGCCGCTTCACCTTTTAATATTGTGCTCCTCAACGAGACAGAGCAATAACAACAACGATCACAGCGACGACAACAACAAACAACAATGACCAAAACAAATGTGTCCCCTCCGTACCCTTCATCCCCCCTCGTTCTGAACGCCGCTACAACACAAACGGGAGACCCCTACCCCCCCCGTTGTCCTCACCTGACGGGGAAGAGCTCGACCGTCAGCTGCGTGCGCGCATCGTCGCCCAAGGACACCACCCAGCGCTTGAAGCGAGGCCCTCCACCGTACCACGCCTCCAGCAACTCGTACGCACGGTTGTGCAGCAGCACGTAGTCCTCTCCCTCCATCTGGCCAAGAAAAAAAGAAGGGCATCACGCGCGGTTGGTCAACAGCAAGTAGTCCTCTCTCTCTTTTTATCTGACAAGAGCATCACCCGCGGTTGTTCAACAGCACGTCGTCCTCTCTCTCTTCTATCTGACAAGAGCATCACCCGCGGTGGTTCAACAGCACGTAGTCCTCTCTCCCTTTTATCTGACAAGAGCATCACCCGTGGTTGCTGAACAACACGTAGTCCTCTCTCCCTTCTATCTGACAAGAGCATCACCCGCGGTGGTTCAACAGGACGTAGTCCTCTCTCCCGTCATCTGACAAGAGCATCACCGCTTCACCACACTGCCGCTGCCTTTGTTGTTTCGATTCCACGTGCAGGCATTCCCCCCCCAAAAGCTTGAACCCAGCAGCACGACCGGGCCACAACGACACCATCATCCACCACCACCATGAGGGAAGGGATGCGTTGGATGCTCTACGGGCGTCGGAGGGGCGAGCAGCTCGAAACCAAAGCTGACAAGTGTCCTCTCCGTACACGACAGCAAACGGCTTCTACCATGGATTTACCGTGGTTCATCAAACCACAACCATGGCGGTGCTGCTCTCGCCACCCTCCGTCGAACACGGCTCGACATCCCAGCATCGGTTTCACACAGCACGGTGCAGAGTGACCGCACCCCCCCCCTCCCCCCCTAGCCCGGCTTCCAAAGCTGGACTGCTGCTGCACTACACCAAAGAGGGCTAGTGCGAATGAAAAGACCGATGCGTGCAAGGAAAATTCTCTATGATATATTTCCAAAGACGACCCTTTTCGGCGCTCAACCTGTTGGTTGCCGTGCAACTGAGCTGAGGGATAATCGCTCGAGGGCGTGTGTGAGATTCCTCGCACTTTTGAGGCTGCACCATGGTGCTACGCCATCCTTGTATGCATATATATTGTTGTGGTATCCCCTACTAGGGATTCAAGGTCAGACAGAAACAAGTCCCCTCAGGTGTACGCATTATATTCAGGCCTTTTGCGGGAACGTTTCAGCAGCCCTCTTTCCTCCGTCGACCGTCAACGTCGGCCAATTTTGTACGCAACACAAGACAAAGTGCTTCCCGAAGACCACCACCACCACCACCGCCGCCGCAGTCATGCCGGGAGCTGGCTGGACTTACGCAGTCGACCATCTAACGCTTGCAGGAAACACCTAGCGCGTCGACCACCCGACGGGGTTGTTCCGAAACAACAAGTGGAACGAGGCAACACCGCCGTGGTAGTTCACGGCCCCCCCGCGGACCGCCTTCGCGGGAAACTACGTCTTGCGACGAACAGCAGAACAGGGAGGGGGTACGCAGAACCTATATCCCTAACCCTAAACCCTCACCCAACTTGCCCGATTGCATGCGTTGTCTTGACATGTTGATAGATAAAAGCCTGCGAAAGCTACCGCTCCCCCCATTTAGGACCTAAACGTAAACCACACGACGTTTACAAACGTGGTGCCCGTACGCGCCGCGACTCACCAGGGTCTCGCGAAGCTCGCGGCCCTCCCCCAACGTTCGGTTGTCGATCGGACCAGGGCCCGCCCGCTCCGTGAACGACGATGCCCTCTCCCCGCCGCCGCCGCTGCTGTTACCCCCCTCCTCCAGAGAAAGCTCCGCCACGCGGTGTTCGTTGGTGTCGGCCTTCACCGCGACGCCGGCGACGTCCTCGGCTTTCACCAGCACGCCGTCTTCGTCCATGCTGCTTGGCGTGGCGGACTCCGTCGCCGCTGCCGAAGGTGGTGGCTCCTTGGTGTCGTCGAAGCGCACGAAGGCTCGCCAAAGTTGCCACCACTTACTCCCCAGGACGTACCAGACCTTTTGCACCAGCGAAAAGCAGTGGGATGAAATTGCGACAGACACACACATCAGCAGCAGCAGCAGCAGCATGTGGATGCGGCAGGAAAAGCAGGAAGATAAAAAATGAGACAAATGCACACAGCAGGAGCAACAGCAGCAGCAGCAGCAGCGTGCAGATGCAAAAGCAGAAACTCGGAATAGAGGCTTCAGGTGGCGGCAGAACTCGAAGGTCGTGCCCTACAAGGCCGGCGTTGCTGCCTTCGGGGAGCACCCAGGCGTTGAAGTGCAGGACGATTGCGACATGTTGGGGCTTTCATACAACGTGGCCAAAAGGACGCAACCACCGTCCACAGTCATTTACAGCACGAACGCCTGACCGTGTACGGTGCACTCCAATGGCAGTTCCTTGCCCGCATGACACTCAGACGAAGCGACGGCAGTGGGGACGACGCACGATGCAAGCGAGCGTGAGAGAGGCCATGACACGAAATTGCCACTGGCTCTACCACTCCAAAACTCGGGTACGGGATTTTGCTTCTTCCACGAGCAGGACATAAAGGGGGATGATACATAAAAGAGTCGCCACAAAGGCATCCCGCAGCCATACGGGTGGACTAAATAAAATAGGTTGCGCTCACACCGGCAGCAGTAATTGTCTCTACCAAAACATACACCGCAGACTCTTCTCTATCTGCTGCCGTAAAAAACGGCCAGGGCAGGAGGGGGGGGGGGTAACACTAAGCTACATAGGAATCGACAAGGCAGCGCTTGCCATCGAGCCGGGTTACTGGGAGGTTTCAATCTCGTGTTCCATCCACCAAAAACACGGGTTTGTGCGTACGATGGATTCACGGATTTTAGAAAGCACACATAATCTCACTGAAAGGCTACCCGTTCGAGATATGTCTAACCACAGCCAGTCGAACGGGATGTGTTGGAGTTTTTTGTTTTTTCCTATTACATATGGTCCAACGAATCCATCTCTTCCTTAGAAAAGAGTCTTACGGCCCAACGACACCATCTCTATCTGTAGAAAAGAGTCTAAGATAGATTAACAATGAATCCATAGCGTCAGCGAAGGCTACCTGTATTTCCACGATTTCCCGAGCAGCACACAGCGATATCTCCCCTGTGGTTGACACAGGCTCAACAAGACCGTTTGGTAGCTATCTTTTCAGTGAGTGGAGGGAAAACCGGCTGGAAACGGGGCGTATTTTGAGTAATATTATTATAATAATTATCTATTAAGGAATAATATTTACACACACAGAAAGTACACATTCGAGATATAACCACAGTCAAACGGGATGTGGTGGAGTCTTTTCAGTTAGTGGAGGAATTATAATATGTGTCGTCTAGGGTCTAAAGGGGTGCGGCCCGCTGCGTGAAGCGGCACTTTCGGGCTTCGGCGTACGTCTTCAGGTATGTGCAAAGGTATTGTCACTTAAGTCTATTTACGTAGTGTCAATACTTATGTCACTGACAGCTTAACGCCACTTGAGGAATATATATCGTGCGTCCCAGGGACAACACACTTTCGGCAGCAGCATTCCTTGCACCGCCGACCGACCAATTGAAAGGGGGGGAGATGTGGTGCGGCTCGTTTGCAAAGAGTGCATGCGCCATCTTCCGATGTCGAGGAAAGCACACGTATTTATCGATTGTTTTTCTCCGCCCCTCCCCCCCCCCCCTCTAGAACCAGCAGCAGCCAACTGCGCCTAGAGGCCAAAGGTAACGTAGACACGAACCGTAGCAGCAGAAACGGCTCGACCAGCTTGGCAAGGGCTGTGTCTGTACAGCGGCGGCGAGACGCGAGTCTGGTGTTGTGTACCACTAGAAAGTGCAGTACCAGATGTACAAGCACTCAATATATACTGGTCTGAAGCGCCCCTTAATGTACAGCAGGGGAGAATTTCGGCAATTGCACACTCGATCCGCACGAGGGAACTCTTCATCATGTTGAAGCTTGCCTTGCTACCAAGCTCCCTGCAGTAACAGCGGTGGTGAGATTCGCGCCCACCTGCTGCTTGCAAGGGAGAAAATTCAATCGCTGGGAGCTCGGACGAAAAAACAAATCGACGAATGCGTACCTGTCCTTGCTTCATCTCAAGCTTCATCGCCTCCGCTATCATTTCTCTCTGGACCTCCGGGGCCGGGGGTGCTGCTGGCACCCCTTCTTCTGACATCGTCGTGCTCACTGATGGAGTCATGGGCTTGGCAAAGGGGCTGGATGGACTATGGGTGGCAAGAAGATTGCTGCTGTGTTGCGTGGTGGGCTTGCTTTTTCGAGAGGAGGGGCACGGTAAAAGAGATTTATGGGTACGTGGATATGGGTATAGCAATAGCGAACCCCTTCGAGCCCTATTGGTGGCATGTGTGCTTTCTGCTTTTTCGAAAAAGAGGCACACAGGCAACAGCAGGATCTTCTCTCTCTGCCCTTCTCTGGTGTAGGTGATCGCAGATCCTCTTCGCGCCAAGCTTGCGTCCGTGACGAGCAGCGTTTCGATCACCCCGTGGTGCGATAAAACCCCACCCCATTCCCAACAGGACAGCGCATCCAGCAGGCCGAGAACATGCAAAGAGCACCAGCTGCAGCTTCCGCTGCTGCTGCCGGGATATCGCGCCGACGGACCCCGCCGGGGAGCTGTTGGATGCTGCTGTCCCTCGTGATCACGGCAGGGGCGGCGCTAGGCGTGGTGGAATCCTTCCTCCCTCCCGCAGCTCTCCAGTGTCACCCGTCGGTTCCCTTCGGTACGGCCGCCGCGGCAAGGCTGGGTAGGAACAAAGGGCTGCCGGTGCCAGCGGCATCATCTCGGGACGGGGGCAGCGGCGGCGGCGTTGAGGACCAGGGCCGGCGGTGGGAGGAGATGGATCGCGGGGGCGGGGGCGGTGATGCTGACGATGACCTGGTGAGCAGTACGTTTTACAATCCCTCAGCCTCAGGCGCATGCCACCACTCTGTCTGCTGCTGCCTTGAGAAAAAAGTGTGAAGGGTACAGCGTTTGCCGAGAGGTTGAAGTGCTATTCCGGGATTCGATTTTGCCTGCTGTGCATGCGAGAGACCCGTCGGGACACGACATGCTGTAACCATGTTAGACCTTAGACTGCCCCCCTTTCTTGGGAGCGTGAGCGTTCCCTGCCGAGCGGTCAATATAGAGCGGGCTGAAGCTTGTCGTTTCACGACCCGTTTCACTGGAGATTTCACCCAGGACGTTTCCCAAACTGCTACCACATCTTAGATCCGGTCGGCAAATCATTTGTGTTGTAGAGGGCTTTTTTCGGCGACGGCGGCATGTGTCTCGTCTATTTTACCTATATGTAGAGCTCGCTCTATTTGTTCTAGCGTTGTGTGGGCGGCGAGTTGCGACTGGGAGCTCCACGGAACGCCCTCCCTCTCTCTATATCTCTCAAATATATTTTTATTTCGGTTCGTATCATTTATGCGCGATTTTTTGCTCCAGTTTCAGCCGACCTCAATATGTACGGAACGGAAGATGGTGCTGTGTGCATGTACTAATTACCCATTTAGCTCTGGCAGGGGAAACACAGCTACATGTTCAAAAACCATTCGGTACAAATAGCAACAGAGAGGTCCCCCGCCCGCAGACCGGTCTGCTGTATAGCACGCGGCGCGGCTCGGTTCCTGTAAGGGTCTGCACGGCGCCACCACGATGTACTGCTGCTGTAATATATACCCTGAGAGCCAACAAGTTCTGCTCAATACAACATCGAAACTACCGCCGTTTATACTGCTGTGGAAGTTGGCCGTAGCGACAGGTGCACATGTTCGTATGTACATTTAAGATTTGGTAACTTTTCATTCTTCGGCGTTTCTTTCTCTCGCGGCAGCGAGTCTTTTTTCGCGGTTCCTTCTCAGGGGCACGCAGGAGGCTCGTCGGTACATTAACGCCCGCGCCCGGAGCTCGGTAGGCCTCCGTGGCGCGTGTGGTTGGCGGCCAAAGTTGCGAAAACTGGCTCAAAACCCCGGGGACGCGTTCCGCGATTACAAAGCCTGGCGAACCAATTCTGAAACCTAACAAACCCATCAAGTAGGACGGTTTGAAATATTTGCCTCTTGCCTCTCCACTTTCATTCATTCATTCATTCATTCATTCGATGATTCATGGCTGTGACTCTTGGTGTCATCGCATTGTCCAACAGCAGTACCTACGTTTACTACACTTCGCAACGGGCCAAGTGTAGACAAGTCTGCGAGCATGCATCCAGCCGCAGTGTTGAACATGTCCAATTTGTAGTGTTGTTTCGGCTTCAAGTTCGGTTCTCATCGGAAACCTGCCATCTTCAATCAAAGACATCATGGAAGTCTGAGTTTTCGCTGCCAAAATATTGTCCGCTCGAGCTGACTCCAATGTAGAATAACAACGTGCGCGCTGTTTTGTGCGGAAATACAAGCGTTGTAAGACACACAGTCCCTCTTCGGGCAACGCGCATGCGGTCTTGCGTCACCTGAGGGAGGGTAGACACCCACGTCCCGAAGCCCGAAGGGAGACCTGGTATTCCCGTATACTATTAAAACCTATTCGAAGTACAGAGTTGCTGTTGGGTGAACCCCCACAGAGGAAGGAGCCTTAGCCAAAATGAGAGGCTCTAATGTGGCACCGGTACAGGATGTCAAGCAGGCGTGTCTTGAACCCTTCCCAGCGAAGAAGACAAATTGACGCCTAGACTAACGTGTGGGGGGGTTACGCATGAAGCGCCTGAGCCCGGAGAGGCAAGTCACGAGGGAGGACTGCAGCTTTAACCCTTCGGACACTTGGGCAGTGTTCCAGAGCCCGCCCGATGTACATCCCTCTCTCTCTCTCTCTCTCTCTCTCTCTCTCTCTTTCTCTCTCTCTATCTCTCTCTCCCTCCCCCCCTCTCTGTCGACGAGCCCTAAGAGAGAGCGAGAGGGAGAAACAAAAAATGTTGTTCGTTTTGCATTCCACGTCGATTTCGGTTTTCTCAAACGCCTCTCCCCGTGTTCCTAGACCCACCTACCCTCCTCTGCCGTCGATGACGCTTGCGGACGAAACGTTACCGTTTCGCCAGCTGTCCGAAGTCAAGGGCCGGGACTGGCGATTGTTCCGCAAGAACCTCATCACCCGGTACGGAGAAGACATCGGCAAGGACCCGTGGAGCGACGGGTGCTGGGCGCATGACATCGGGACGGTGGAGGCGGTGAGTGGGGGTTAGCTACATACGTACCTCGTGAAGAAGTTGTTCTGATGCTACGTCAACCCCCCCCCCCCCCCCCCCCTATTGGGGTCGATTTCCCGGGGGGGGTTCCGCATGTTTTTTTACGTGCGGTAAAAAGGTTCGTAAA